TCGTAACTCTCCCCTTTTCGGTTAGAGAAGGTATCAACGTGTTCTTGGCTGGTTTTATTCCCACTGAAAACTTGCGTTTCAGGGACATATCTCTCACCTTCAAGGTAAACCTTTTCTAGTAGACATATTATTTTTTGTGTGACTAATAATAATAATAATAATAATAATAATAATGATACAAAAAGTAAGACCATATATAATATTTTGGGGGGCTTAAAACATTTTTTAAAAATCTTTTAGTAGATTTTTTTGTCTTCGTAATTTACGGGTCTATGTTAGGCAAAAAAATGTTCAAAATTATTTGGGACCAAGATTATTGTTGCATTAAAATGTGCCAAGATCCGACTCTGACAAAATGTATATTTGTCTTTTCTTTTCTTTTACAAGGTTTCTGAAACTCCACAAGAGAATGATGGGGAAGTAAAGTCCTATGCAAGATACAAATACCCAAACATGAGTAAGACTCTTGGAAGTTTCAAGCTGGAGGTGATGGAAGGAGACTTCACCGACTCTCAGATTGTTGTAATGCTTGGGGAGAACGGTACTGGGAAAACTACCTTCATCCGGATGCTGGTACATACACCCCATATATATATAATAATCTCCATAATTGTGTGTGTGTTTAAGACTTTGAAAATTTTGTAACGCAGGCAGGTGCATTGAAACCTGACGGGGATGTAGAAGAAGATATGCCAGTGTTTAACGTGTCATACAAACCGCAAACTTATGATGCGCAGCGTGAGTGTTCAGTTAGACAGTTGCTACACGAAAGGATCCGTGATGCTTATATGCATCCTCAGTTTGTATCGGATGTAATGAAACCGCTTCAGATTGAGCAGCTGTTGGATCAAGCAATTTGCACGCTCTCTGGTGGAGAGTCGCAGAGGGTTGGCATAACTTTATGTCTTGGCAAGCCTGCTGATATCTATCTGATTGATGAGCCAAGTGCGTATCTAGACTCTGAGCAGAGAATCACAGCCTCAAAGGTCATAAAGCGCTTCATACTACACGCAAAGAAAACAGCCTTTATTGTGGAGCATGACTTTATAATGGCCACATATCTGGCGGACCGAGTCATAGTGTATGAAGGACAACCATCTATCAAGTGTATGGCTCATTCTCCTCAGTCACTCCTTAGCGGAATGAACCTCTTCTTATCGGTAAGCTCTGAATCAATTTATTTAATCTTCTCTAGATCAATACAACTAATCCTCATATACTTTTTTGCAGCACCTTAACATCACATTCAGACGTGATCCGACTAACTTCAGGCCAAGGATCAACAAGTTAGAGTCTACCAAGGACAGGGAGCAGAAGTCTGCTGGCTCATACTACTACTTGGACGACTGAGCTTTTATTTATAAAATATTCTCCTGAGTTTGTTGCTTTTGTCTACCAAGATTGAAACATCAACTTTGATTTAAAAGTTTTTATGAGTTATGATGACTATATGGTTGTTATGTTGTTTCGTGAGGTGTAATGTTGTTCCATACATTAGATACTGGTCATGGGACCATGAAACCGTGTTTTATGGGATGTTATGGGATTCTGTTATTGAGGTTAAAAGGTACTTAATATTGTGACCAACCATTATTTTCATTATTATTATTATGCGAAAAATTATGATTTATGTTATATCAGTTTTAGTGCAGGGCAAATCTTCAAAATGGTACATCTTCAAAATGGTACATTTCTAAGTTTATGTCACAAAATAGTTCTCAAAAACTAAAATGACTAAAATAATATTTTATTTTTCGAAAATTTTTTTAATTTTTTCTTTTTCAAAAATTAAAATATCATCCCCAAAATTCCACTCCCTAACTCTAAATCCTAAAATCTAAATTCTAAACCCTGAACTCTAACCGTAAACCTTAAATCTCATCATTTAACCCTAAATCATAATGTCTAAATTAATTTATCATTGAGATATAAATGTATACTTATCTCTTTTGATAAAACATTAAATACTATTTTGGTCATTTTTATTCTTAATAGCTATATTTGTGATAAAATATTTTTAATGCTATTTTAGTCATTTTCTCTTTAATGCAACTAGTTTAGCAATACTACGTCATTAATCTTTGTGGAATTCTTTTCACATTTTTTTCACAACAGTAAAGTAAAATTTCTTTATTAAATTAATTTAGGGTAAAGGTTAGTTATTTTTATGAATAGTCACAATTTGTAAATTAAAAATAGTGAATAGTCACAACTTTTCAAATTAAAGTTATGAATAGTCACAATTATCCAATTATACGTAATTATTTTAAATAATAAATTTATATTATATATTTGAATAGACGCATCATTTCAAAAACACATTTATTATATAAAATTAATTATTTTTGAAAGTAATTAAAATTTAAGTAGACGCACTATTTCAAAAAAACTTTTATTATTGAAAGAAATTTTAGGTATTTTTAAAAATATATATTTTTAAAATAAAAATATATAATCTCTTATTTACTTAAAAAATGATTCACAACCTTTGACATTAATTAAGATTGTTATTATTAATAGATAATGTTTCAAGAAATTGGTCAGTAGGAAGTTTATTTAATTTGTATATGTCAGCTTTCGAAAGTGGCATATTTTTGCTAATGATAGGCACTAAATCGTTATATATATGTACGTTTAGTAATACAAAATTCATATATAAGTTTGGTAATATTAGTTAGTACGTTTTTAACCATGATGAATGTAAAATCAAATGTCATATATATCATAAGACGGTTATATATATGTCATATAGACATCACACGTAATGTAACCGTTATATTTAATGTGTTTTATCCTTTTTTTAACGACAATTTCTATCCTTCTGTGAACCCCTTTGTTGATAAAAAAAACAAAAGATTTCTATCCTTCTGTCCACGACATGACGATAATATATACAATTTTTGTGTGATCTCATCTAATAAATAAGAAAGGCTATATCCGTACACATTGCAGTCGTAGGAGAAAAAGAAGATGAAAGAACCAAAAAAAATTCTTGTGACATCCTGAAACTTTTGAAAAATAATCTTGATACATTATCTTCACTTGGTAGGTGGAGAAGCATGGAACTAGGCATGTTTCTTGTTGCGCCAATCAATCTAACATTATAATGGGCCTTTAATGGGTCTGTTAAAAGCCCAAAACTTGTTACCACCAAAACTTGTTGCGCCAATCAATCTTCCCACGCTCGCACCAATAAGGTTCGTAAGATGTGCAGCCTAGGTCTTTGAATCCCCACTGAGTTTTCCTGAGATCGAGCAAAGATTTGCTGGAAAGGTAAAAGTAAAGAATACTTTTAAAAATGTCAGTGTACGGAAAATATAATAAAAGCATCTTGAATCACTTCTGTTTATAACACAGGCTTTTGCCAAAAAAAAAAGGGGAAATTGTTTTTTTAGCCCAAAATCATTAGGAAGTTGTCCCTTTAGACTAAATTGTATTTTGTCTCATTTTTTACTCTAATGCCCTTTATCATTTCTGTAAATTAATAAAATAAATAGATTGATGAACAAAAAAATATTTAAAAATAGTATCTAATGATGAAATACTTATATCAATATAGTGGTATTTTTTTACAGTTTTAAAAATGTGTAAATCACAATTTCATATTTTATTCTACAGATATTAGAATCCATGTACTACAGATTAGAATCTCAAATCTACTTTTTCCATAATTTCTACTTTTCTCAGAATACGTGTTCTACGGAAGTAATAGTATTCTAAAACATATTGGAATACACATTCCGTATTTAACATAGCCTTCTAATATCTGTAGAAACCATAATCTAAACATTACGATAAATCTAAAAAAAGTAGAAATCGGAATCTACACATTGCTAACATTTTAATACATGTAGAAACTGATTTCAAACATGTTTACCGAGTTCTACCTTTAGTAGAATATGTATTCTACGGATAAAGTTAATCAGATCCGAAAATATAGGTATAAAATATTTGAAAATATTCACTTTCCATACTTTTAATATCGATTTTTTTTAAAAAAAAAAAATTAAAAAGGAAAATCTGTTTTCAGAAAAGGAAAAAAATCATGCCAAATCTCTCTCAATTTTTTTCTCACGTCTCTTTTCCATTCTTCCCAATAATTCACAAAGTTTTTACATTGTTTCTACCATGATTCATGTCTATGCTTCATAATTTCACTAAGATTTGGGAATGGGGAAGATTAGGTTTAGGATTAACTGATTTAGGTTTTTTTTTAAATTTTTTTTAAATTTTTTCATTAAAGCTAATAAAATATATTATTATTATTTTCTAATTTTAATTACGAATTAATAAACATTTTTTATTTATTTTATTTTATTTTTTTAATTTTTTTTATTTTTTTTATTTTTTTAATATAAATTTTCCATTAAACTAAATAAAATATATTATTATTATTTTCTAATTTTAATTACGAGTTAATAAACTGCTTTTGTAATTTTAATTTTTTAATTTTTAATATAATTTTTTCCATTAAACCTAATAAAATATATTATTATTCATTTCTAATTTTAATTCCGAATTACTGAACTTTTTTATTTTTTTAAAAAAATTAATATACTTTTTCATTTAACCTAATAAAATATTTTATTATTAGTTTCTAATTTTAATTACGAATTAATAAACTGTTTTAAGGATATTATTGTTCTTTAGATAAACATTAATCTAATGGGACAATAACTAAATGAGATTAGTCTAAGGGGACAACTTCCTAATGATTTTGGGCTAAAAAAACTATTTTCTCAAAAAAAAAAGAGAAAGAAAAAAAAAGAATCTAAAGTACTTTTTAACCCATAATTTCATGGTAGAAAAAGAATCTAAAATACATATTTAACCTATAATTTCTTGTTACACAAGAAACCGATTAAACAAATGAACTGCTGCTCTGTTACACTAAAAAGGTAAATAAAATAATACAAAAGAATTTCTAAGTCATCATCTTCTCTATTCACACAAAAAGAATAGATCGGACCGAAAGAACTTATTGTATAATAAAAATTCAGTTATGAATCTGTGACATCTCCAGGTAATGACATCCCTCTCCATAACGGTGACATCTGAGGCGTTTGCGTTTGAGATGAAGAGGAGAAACAAAGTCTTGAAACAGAAGCACTTCTTGGAGACAAGTTGACTTGCTCCAGTGCTTGAAACTGAAGCTCTGATGGATAATCTCTTACACAACCGATCCTTGGTCCTGCACCTGTTGTCCATTTGCATGACAATTGTTTCCCAAGTTGGAAAGATTTACTTTCCTTTTTTGAATTTATCCTTTTTAGGATTGATTCTTCTGGAATATTGACTACTTCTTCACTCTCTTTGGTTTCTTCTTCCTCTCTTCCTTTGGGTGAGGTTTGTTCTGAAGGCATTGGTTCTTGTTCTAACTCAAAAATCTCTTCCTCTTCCTCCTCCTCATCACCTGAATCATAGTCTTCAGTTACTTTGGATTGGGTTTCCTCCCCAAAGATACTCAAAGAATCCATCTTCTTCGGTGTTTCGATGTTAACCATCACTGGAGTTGTTTCTTCCTCTCTTGGATCAGCTCTTTCTTGAAATGAAACAGTATTCTCAGCCTCCAAATCCTCTTCCAAAGAATGATTTCTCATATGAGTGCTTCTCTGTTTGTACATTGAGAATTCATCTTCATCTGTTGGACTCATCTGAAACACACAAAACAAAACATTTATAAGAACATAACCCTCACATACTTAAAGACCTAAACAATGAATGATTCATTCAATCAAAAAATATTTCTTACCTTTACATCAGTGATGTCAACATCATTTTCTCTAAGGAAAGACAAGAAGTCCAAGAAGTTCTCTTCAGTAGGTTGATAATGTCCACTATGTGGCCAGACAGCCTTGAGAACACCATCCTCAACAACTAATCTTCCTGCAGCAACAGTAGCTCCTCCAGCTAAGAAGCTTGAATGTTGAAACGTACCCTTCTTCTTCTTCCCAACATACAACACTTTCGACGTGCTGAGTACAAAGATCCATTTGGAATCACTATCTTCCATTGAAGAAGTTTGAAGCATTTCTCCGGTATTCTTGTAAAAGAACTTGCCGTCTTCCACAACAACCTCATAAGCTTTTCTTTCCATCTACACAAAACATAAAGATGACAACAATAAGAAACAAGTTCTAGTTTATCGATAAAGTTACTTGTTGAGCAAGGTAAATGAAATAGATACTAACCGGCCCAAGGTACTTGATGCACTGTTGCTGAAGTTTTGTTCTAGAACATTTCTCCACAAGATTTACTTCTTTACCCTCTCCAATATCAAGCCTGAAAAAATTTAATCAAACACACATATCTAAGTTTATTTTTCTTGATTCAGCTCAAAATCTTTTAACAAAGATGACAATGAAAAGTAATTACCAGTAGAAGAAAGGCTCTCTACTCTGACAATGAAGCCACTTGTTGTAGTAAAAGTGTAGGTTGTGTCCATACCGATGTCTTGGGTCAATCTGTTGCATAAACCAAGATCAGACCAAGTTCAAACCAAAAAATTGTACTAAAGAAAAACTAGTCTCTATAAAAACTTACCGCTTCAAGCCAGTGTTGTAGAGCAAGTTTTTGTGCCTTTCCATTCTTGGACAAACCTTTACCAACCTTAGCAGCTCTAGTCCTAGCTCTAGACCACCTCGAAATCGCGGTCTCATGCTTCTCAATATCAAAGAAAGATATAGAACTTCTCTTCAGCTCAGCAAAATCCAATAGTTTCCACCTGTGACATAAACATAACACAACATTAGATCACCACAACACAACACATGAACAATAATTAAAATATTTAAAAAAAAAATACTAACCAGCTTTGTTCCACAAGCACTGCACAATCAGCTAGCTTTCGCCTAGTACGGAAGCTTTTGTAAACCTTTTGTAACTTAATAGCAGCTTCGTGTTTAGGGTTCCTGGGATCAAGAACTGAGAGTTCTCTAGCGATACCAGCATTGTCTTTCGTGTTCAAGAGAGACCTCTTAAGAGAGATCATTCTCTCTAGCTGCATCCCTTTGAAGCTAACAGATTTCTCAACGACCATTTTACCACCAGATCCCATGGATTTCAAGATGGTTGGCTCAAGAGTCCCGTCATTGAAATTTACAGATCTCTTTGGAGTCTTGCACTCGTCGTCATCACCACCGAAGCTTATGGACTTAACCGTGACAGAGTCTAGAGCAGCTTCCACGTCGTCTTGCTCGAACTGACAGGAGAATGATACACCCATTCAAGAGGCGAGAGTTTCTGACCTGAAGTGAAACATCAAGAATCTGTTATGTCTGATTCATATATGTTTGCATAAATTAAAAAACAGAGAGCCAAAGAACAAATTTTCAAAAAAAATAAAGGAAGAAAAAAAAACAGAAACATTTTACCAAAAAAAAAAGTTTCAAAAGAAAGGAAAAAAAGAAAACAGAACTTTTCGGATCTGAAAAAAAAAACAGAGCAATCCGGAAATAAATCACAACCGATAATAAATCCGTAAATGAAATACATTTTTATTCTTAAGTCTATAAAAAGAGAAGAATCAGTACCTTGAATATACGTTTTGGCACTTGAAGAGATTTATTATCTTCAAGCAGAGGAATCTTGAAACTTTCTGTTTAGTGCTTCTTGAATCTTCTTTTGATTCTCTTTACGTTCTTGAGATGAAGATGCGAAAGGTTTTTCTTTGTTTTTGGTTTTTTAATCTTGAAGTGAGGGGGAGAAGATGAAGCTCACAAATCGTAAGTTATTACAAACTCTTCAGGGATGGAGTTATATATATAATACAAACTCCAGCGCGACAAGACAGGATAGAGAGAGAGAGAGTATGGGTGTGTTAGAGAGAGAAAGAGCAGCGTCGATATTTCCAACCACGTGTTTTGTAAGCTGCGGAATATTCATACGAGGTCAATAGTTCAACTCGAGATAATTTTACTTCAACTCAATTAATTATTCAAAAAATATTAAAAAGATTGAAGATCAGCAAGGAAAAGTTTTAAACTATATCAAAAACCAACTAGTAATTTTTATTTACAAATAGTAATAGTTTACTGAAAATATTTTTAGACTAATGTAAGTAATCTTTTAACTTAATTAATCGGTATGACCAACAAAAAAAAATTTGGTGTAATATTTATTTATAAACTTCAGAGCATGCTTATTTGTAAAATATCTCAAAGAATATTTGATCTATATAATATAGTATTATTTAATTATGGAACTGAGTTTAAAATACAAATAAAACTATCACTCTCACATGATTTTTAAGTTTATAATTATTTTTGTTAGTTTTCAAATTAGTAATTTAATTTTTTAATAGTAAACCTCAAAATACTATTGGTAAAGATGCTCTTACTTGTTTACTTAATTTTAAGATCATAGTGTATTGTTTTATACTAGTTTTAACATTTTTCATGGAGCAAACTTAATTTTTTGCTATATTTACACTGGCGTGGCTTACATTTTTTAGTGTAAAGTCATGACCGTATAATGTTCATTCTTTATTTTTTAAGAAAACTTCACGGAAAATTGGTCACCCGTAAGATAAAATATATTTGACTCAATCCATTTCCTTTTTTATCTTATGAATTTGACTTGATCCATTTTTTGGATTATTAGTTGGTAGAATTTTAACGTCACTATACTAAAGTGACGTAGCTGCATACGTGGATTTTCCTTGGTAAATACTTCTATTCTTTTATTTTATTTCAAAGGTCTATGTTTATCGGTTTAAAAGGACCCCCAATATTGTTTTTTCAATTCAAATGGGATTTAATGAAATTTCCTTCTTCCTTTCGTGGCGACCCACATAATAATAGTCTATTCAATCAAAAGTGTTTTGGTGGGTTAATAAGAACAAAAATCATGAAATTAAATAAGCATATACTTGATTTATTTTTGTATTTTAATCTTTAATGTAACGAGGCAATGGAACATTCAAGCTTTACAAATAGCGACACTTTATTGCATAATGCATACCTGTCCATCTAAATAATTTATTGCGAAATTTGTCGTCATCGATACATATGCACGTATTGGTATAGATCATTGCAAGTTTGCAACGGTTTTGTTGTTAATAACTGTATCGATAAAAGCCAAGATCGACGCTTAATAACATGATAACAAAACTAAGAAAGATATGTAAATATTGAAATAGTCGGGTCGATTTAACATCGTTAGACGCACGCAGATTTACAAGATTTTTTAAAAAAAAATTAAAATCTTGGAGGTCTATTATTTTTGTAATCAACAAAACAAAAAGAAGTGATTTAAATAATATTTAAGAGGTGAGTACTACAATACATGCATATGTACACTTTCTCTTGAAAATTAGGTTGAGAGTGACTTGTCTCCATATATGTCCCTCTAACAAACTCAACATATCAAACCTCTTTAATCGGAATGCACCTTCCTTGAGCAACATTTTTGGACAAAATGGTACGTCGTTTATTATTTAATGTTAAACGCAACATACCGTCGACTACTAATTAACCGATAGTAACCAAAAACGAGTACATTTAGTTACACCGGTGTGACGGTGCCGGTGATAACTAAACATTACTAGTAAATGCATTTCTGCATGTATTAACCAAAAGTGAAATGTCACACAGGTAGCAACAAAGATTTACTGGTTTGTACAAATATTAAATATGTAATGTCATAGACTTGTACTTAATCAACAATTATTTTGTTGCAAAGCAGTAGAAAACGGCCTAAAGCACAATAAGAAAGCAAAAATCTTTGGGTATCCTTATATATTCTAAATATTATGTACTACAAAACAGATACAATGAATAAAAAGGGAGTATGAACATGAGGTCATATCATATATATACGCGTTACTTTACTCATCATACGTACGCATACGTACATATATAATACTATGTGATATTATATCAAACATGGATAAAGTGAGCCAGGTACAAAAAGAAGAAACAAAATCTATAAATAAATTGTTGCTCCTCCATTGAATTAAAATGAATGTACAAAGTAATTTACCTACAACTTACAAGTGAATATATGTGATAAACTACATAAATTGTTATTTTTTTGTAAAATTACATAAATTGTTTTGGTTATTGAATTAAAATGAATGCACAAAGTGATTTTATATACAGGTGACTCAATGTGATAAACCACATAAATAACCGGTTCAACATAACGGACAAAACCCATGCGCTTAAAATTCGTAGCATTACTTTAGTATTTCAACGTACGCGTTATGCTCAAATTGCCCCAAGAGAGAAGTATAGTAAGAGATGACAAAAAAAAAAAATTGCTCCCGAAAGAGAAGGATAATACTATGATGTCAACCTTCGGTTGAAACGTAGCATAACGTCACCGTCTTCGCGCACATGTGCATATATGGATATGTCAACTAAATTATTTCAAAAGCAAAGTGCTATTATGTACGAGTTTAATTGATAAAACTTTTTTTTACCAAACATACGGTTGATTTTCTTTTCCTTTCTAGTGGCTTTACTTTAGACAAGAAATATGTAATTTAGAATAAAAACTCTGTTATGTGTTCAAAAAAAAAAAGAATAAAAACTCTGTTTATTATGGATTTGGTCAATTTCTTATATAGATCTATGTTATTATGGATCATAACAATGGTTTAGTCATCCGATTCAACAACGTCGTACCCTCGACCTCATACAGTTTTAACTGTTTTGTAACAATATAGAAATTTTAACAGCGAACTCAAAGCTCTAATATGAAACCTTATGGCCATAATTCACCCAACAAACCTCTTAAATGATTAATAGCCAATTTTTTTTGTTAGGAAAAAAACATTTAGTAATATCTTTAGTCATATCACAACTAATAACACCAGCTTAACACAAGTACTCAAGTATGTAAATACAGTTGAACCGATCTTTGACACAGAGAACGTAGAAATAAATTATTGGATCTATATGTATAATAAACGATATTGGATCTATTAGTACTCTGATTCTAAAATCATTTGGAAACAGTGAACCATTTGGAAACAGTGAACCAACAAGATTTTGATATGTGTGTCCGAATATCAAGAATCATAAAATCTTAAAGTTAGATTATATCTCATTGGTTTTATTCCCTTCTTTAGCGTTAACGTTAGGTTTCTGAAATTTACTAAGTGGATACAGCTGTTGGCTCAAATCTCGATGGGTGAAAGATGGTAATGTTTGATTTTATGATAGTTAAGATAGTATTTGGCTCGTAATGTTTGGATTCATTAAAGAGTATGAACTATTCTTTCATAAAAATGTTACTGTTATAAATTTTATTGTTTCGTTCAATTCACAAACTTAATTGACATTTTCTACAAAAGTATCTAGATTGTTTTGGATCGAAATCTAACTACCTTTTCCAGTTTGTGAATACAGTCGTCAAATAATCAATTAAAAAGTATTTTAGCAGACTTAAACATGGTATCATTTCCATTTGATCGAATTTTTGGTATGAATGTTAATAAGTTGTTCAGAAAAGTATTTTTAAAAGAAGTTTACAAACGTATTGTAAATTTAGTTAACGTGACAAGGCCGGTTCAAAAACTCAAAGAAACAGTAGAACCAGTACCTAACCATAAGTCATTGTAATTTTTTTTATAAATCATGCATATGAAAATCGTTTAATTTAAAAACATTCCACAATAGCAACAAATAATACATTTTCACTAAAACATGGTTTCCCAATCACAAAATCGTGAACTTGGATTTCGTTCTCTTTATTTAGACCTTAATTTGATCCGGAACCTATTAAAAACCAAGCAACTTAGATTTTGTTCTGAGCATATAATGAAACCTATTTTCAATTATTCATAAGCTATATTAGAAAAATGGCATAGTTTGACGTAAACAACTTCAGACCGTACATAAGATATCGGTAAGCCCGCCACGTGTAGAGTTCACATCGAACCACGAGGCTGATGTCTGCTTTCAAGTACCACACCGTACCTAACATGGAGACAACCGTATCTTCTGACGGCATTCAAATTTATGACACTTTTTAATGTCTGCAAGAATCTTTAGATCTGTGGAAATGGTAACTAATAGGCAGTTTGATTTCATTTAACTTAGAACTGACCAATAATACAATCATATAGTCGTATAAAATATGATTGATCTGATCTAATTATAACTGGCTCCTGAAAAGTTTATTGGTCCCAATTAAATGCATTCAATGATTATGTATTTATTAGTAGTAATAATACCCAACTAGTGTGTTTCAAAAAAAAAAAAAAAAAAATACCCAACT